CAAGTTTCCGGCGCGCACCAGCGTGGAGGTGGGGTTGGATTTTACGCACCCTACCCTCGCGCACTCTAAGCTTTTATTCTGTTTACAAAACTCTTCCACTCATCATAACTGTGCACATCATTACTGCGTGCTCTTAATTGCATCACAGCGGGTGTACTGACAGTTTACCGTTTCCCATGATGAGTTAGGTTGGAGTCATTAGGCCCAAACTCGAGCGACAACGCAACGATACCAACGAATTAGATCGTGCAAACAGATCACCACAGTCTCCAGTGCATGATCTACTTTCGTCTCCTTTGAAAATCATTACCAATGAATGTAGGCAGCATTGTTTTTGCAAATAACTTTTTTTCAGGAGTTTGTGTGGTATTAGTTTGAGCTCAGACTATTGAGAGACAATAGGGGACTACTTTACTCGTACTTGTTACGGCTGCGATCATGACTGATCTAGCCGGCCGCAATTATGTCCCTTGTGGTGCCTCTCCAAGCGTGACGGTCCCGCTCGTACCCAAAATTCCCAAGTCACCTCAATGAATCATGGACCAATAGGGGACACATAATTATCTTAGCGTTTCTTGAAGAGTAGTAGAGACGTCGCCTGAACGATCGATCGCGGGGGGTTATTCTATTGCCTTGCTGCACATTGCCTGAAGGATTCAGAGCAGAGATTATGCCTACACATTTTCGTGCGTGGATCCATTGCGTGTCGACGGGAATGAGGCAAGAGTTGCCACTGAAACATACCTTCAAAGCGCATTCCTTACTCAAGGCTGTGCATTATCTTGTAAACTAAGATAAAATAACCGTAATACCAAGGGAATAAATTCAGGTGTTCCAGTTTTCCTATAAAAGAGTGGCTTTTTAGACCTCTTACTAGTTTCGTGGCAAGATACTGCGCATTCTTCGAAATATATTTCGAATTTTGTGAGCCATGGCCCCCACGCCTGTATGCCATATCCTAGATGTGGCCGAACGAAGGTACCATAGACTTTACCAAGGGGTCTTTTTCG